CGCGGTACCGTTACCTACAACTCCTTCCTAGACAAATTTCCTACGAACGACCACCCGTCCAAACATTTCTTGGATCTCTTCTCGGATCTCCTCTGATGTGCAAACGCGCGAGAAATGTCAGAGATTCTGCGTTCAGTTGGCGTATGGTGGTCCGTAAATGCCACGCACACTATTGTTATTTCTATAATAGCCTGTGTCGTTGGCTGAGAGTCGAGAATGGATCGTTATGTAGTTTTGATTGACTGCCTACTGTGAGCTAGCAAATACTTTGAATCAATGTGAAAATGTATGTTTCTCTATCTTCCGAGTGTTCGAGACAGAGTCCATTCACCTCAATGGAATATTACAATCCTGAAGTTGTTAAATTACTTATACTCTTTATTATTTTATCACTTTCCAAGACCTAAAATTATGGCTCATTAAAATCGTCCGATCAGTCGGTCCCTGTTCCGCTATGGTTAAAAATTTAACTCGATAAATATCACGAAACGCGTTAGATATTGCTTGAAAATTATCAAGAGAAAGAGAGAGAGAGAGTACCGAATGCCCGTCAGCTAGAGTTGTACGTACTTGTATTCGAGTGAGTCATAAGAACGACCGATAATCTTAGCCAGTGTATCGCGCGTGAATAGAGCGACTAGCAAAGAGAAGAAAAAGGGACTGTGGTGATCAAGAGAGAGAGAGGAGAGAAGACTGTAGCGGAGTGGTTGCCGAGAAAACGGTAAACTGCTCTGCGAGACCTGGTGAACGTTTGCGAATCCTCTTGGTCCTTCGAGGATAATGTCAGTCGACGCGAGATTGCATCGATCGTTGCTCGAGGATGAACCTTAAGCCTTGCTGCGACCGACAGTAGATTCAATCTGCTCGAGAACTCCTTTCGATACACCCTTGTTGTAAAACGGTTAACAGTTAACAACCACCGCTACAATTCTGATTGATTCTATATGAAGAAACAAGTAGAAAATGTGAAATTGAACCGGTACGCTATATCGAAACATTGATAGTGTCGTTTGATGCAATAACGCGAAGAATTCAATCTGGACGCTGTCGTTTGTTCGTACGCCCCTGCGTCTGACTTCTCTCCCGACTGCACTTTACCAGATTAAACGCGCTGCATCGAGCTACTGATGAATTTTAGATACAAGGAGGGGAGCGCGAATAGAGAGAGAATTTCTGATAGTACGCTTTTGCATTTGCACCGGGCTGTAATTGAAAATTATAGGGGAACGGAGCAGGATAGCGGGGTTGAAAATAGTGCAGGCAAAAGTGTAGAAGCTTGCAATTGTGGAATTTATTAAAAAAACAGTAATAGCGAGGTTGAAGCGAGGGCACAGAATGCGTGGACGTACTTCCCTGTGATACTCGAAGGATCGAGAAAGGACGAGCAGAGGTCCTGGTAATTAAGGCGTTTCGACAAACGTACATCGCGGAAACCGGTTATCCCAGCATCGCTGCTTTTCGCTCGTGTATACCTGCTGGAAGGTTGCTCGCAAGGTTGCTCGATTCCGCTGGCCCTGACGGTCCTTTGAGCCACAAATATGCGTAATCCAGCGTACAGGTAGGAACAGCGAATCCTCCTCCTCCTCCTCCTCCTTCTCCTTCTCTCGAAAATTGACGCTTCCTGGTCCCTGGATCCTAGCAGAAATTCCTCGTCACCCCTCTTCGTCTTTCAGATCCTATAATTTTACTTTGAGATCGGAACTGAGTACGAAAAGCTAGATGAAGGCTTTTCTGTAATATAGAGGAACGCGTGGTTGTTAAAGGGGTAAAAGAAATCCTCGGGAAAAATCACGGCTCGTCCAGCTACAAGCAGGAAGTATCAAATTAACGTATGATCTCGTCGTTGGAAGACTGTAGTACAAGAGGCTTAATCTCTAAACCAGTAGCTTCTTCAAGAGCTGTTCCGATTTCCGATTACGCTTATGCTAGTTTCAAGTACTTGGCATTGCCCAGTTACCTTTTATCAAATCAGGTGTCATTTTATATTCCACTTTGCGTTTAATTTAACGGAATTTAAAGTTTAATGTAAGAAGAATTTATAATACTTTTCATCTTCGAGTTGGTCGAGTTTCGTTTACGGGGACGGTCACGTCCCGTGTAATTAAAGTAGCTGACGAGCCTTAATTATAGAAATTTTACCATCGTTTGAACCTGATCGTGAAGCTCGCTTATAGCGTTCAAAGTTAATTATGAAAGTTTGATAAAGAGTTTTAATAAACGAACGGATCAGTCGCGTGTTTGATTCAGCTTTCTTGAAGCTGTACCAAGATTGAGTCCAGCGTACCATGACTAGGCGATTCTCTCGTTTTGTTCCTCGTCCTAAGAACTTTCCAACGCGATTAGGTAACCGTGGATGAGAATTAGTGTTCGAGCTAGCCATGTAATTCAAAATGTAATCTCGTTTTCGGCTTTGTCCAGCTTGACAGGTCTAAGATATTTCTCAGCAAAAGGAGGAGTCCGTTGAAATTACGGTTTTTAGCTTGTAGATTGATTGCTGTTAGTTAGGACGACACGAATCGTGTAATAGAAATTGCAACACCGCACCGGTATCATCGATCGGTTACTGGCATCCTGGCTCATTGTATAATTCAATCTAACGTCTTCCCTTTTTAAAGCCGAGATCATCTTCGCAGATTAAGCCAAAAGAGGATCGAGAGTGTCGAGTATCGCGGTCGTAAAAGTCTCGTGGATTTTTCTTCTAGAGCAGCTCTATGCGTGCTCGAATACTCGCTCCGGTTCGTTACAGGATCAAGCGAAGGAAACCTCCGTATAAGGTGGATAGAAAATTGCAATTGCAACATTTTCAGAACGCGTTTGAAATTATTGGAAGCTTCTAGAGGGGGGTAGTATATAATAAGAGCACGCCGACTGACCACCTTTGCGGTAACGTTATACCGAAGCCAGAGGATACCGGAACCAGGGATACCGAGTCGAAAGTTCTGCTCACGAAGATTCACGATCGATCGGCATCGATTTTCGGGAATTTTTTCGGGCTTGAAAAGCAACCAAGAAAGCTTACCGAGTTTGTACAGTGTATTTACAGCCGCTTATCATCAGAACCCTTGAATGGTTTAGGGTCTTTGCTTTAGCTTACATTATCATCTACAAATATACAAACACTCGAGTCTATATTTCAATTTTTTTTAAGAAGCAGTGGTAGCACGAATGATTGTAGTCTTTTTTGTCTACGGGACGAAAATGTAGAATATAGAAAATTTCGGTCATAAAGGGATTTTCTTAATCGACTCCACCCTCGTGTACTTTAAGCTTCGACGTGATATAAGGATTATAAATAAGGTGATTGGTGGAAGCGTTAGTCCTTGGATATCATACAAAGATCGTGTACAGGTACTAGTGTACACGTCGAGAGAAGGAGCGGTGGTCCCTCTTCTGCACACAAAGTTGATTGTCCGGCCTTGAATCTGCGGCCAGATGTGCCAACACAGCCTGTCCGCTCGTACACGCGTGCACCACGAACGTGTGTTCACCTTTAGATTCGTCCGAAAAACCCCCTCCTGCTCAATTTTCATCAACGATACAAATTTGAATAGGAAAAAATTTTCAATTTTCAAAAATATTTCTTTGCAACCTGAAGATTATCCATTTAATATACAATAGTATTCTGTACTAGGTTTTAGTCTAACAGACATAAAGTTGATCGATAAGAGAAAAAAGTGTGTATTTCGTAGAATTTTCTTTCTTTAATGAGTCAGCCAGACTCATGAGACTGTTTCACGAAGCCAAGCCACATTGGCCCAACCCAGTCTGTCCTTCGACTTGTCTGCCACAACCAGTCAGTATCTCCCCTAAATATGGAGTCTCGTGTCCGTGTCCCTCCGTTTCTCTGCATAGGGATAAGCTTCGAGCCATGGGGGTTGGTCGTGTCGGCTTAGAATATTGCGGGGGTGGCCAGCGGTGGAGAGGAACCCCATGAATCATCCGAGGCACAATCAATACGAAAGCAACCGACCCTCGTTTCGTGGTGCACCGTCGAACCAACGCAACGTCGAAATAGGGTGGACGGGGGACGGTCGGGACGGTCGGGACGGTCGGTCCTCCATATTCGCAGCGAACCTACGTCAAATTACCTTTTCATCCTTGCAAATTTTCAACTTTCCTCTCTTGATAGACGAATCGAAACTTGGGGTTATTCGAGAGTTTCTCTCCCTCGAGCACGATTCGGATTGTTGTCATTTTTAAACATCGTGGCAAGACGAGACAAATTTTGAAATTTTGGATTAGGAAAATTAGTAAGAGAACGAGAGCACGCCTTATTTTCCTGTTAACAGATTAGATAGCAAACGTTATCAGAGTGTTCCAGAATGGTAGAAGTATTTAGTATCCTAACCTCGAGTATTTGCCGGATATGGTCGAAAGACCTCGCGATTCACACAAATATGATGAAACTAATATTTTAAATCTGTGCGTTAGGAAATTTTCTTCTAAGAGAAATTCATAGAAACCCTCAGCTGAAATCGGGCTTAACACTACCAATTGTCCTGTAGAATCAGAGGAATTAATCAAACGATCTAACAAAACGTAGCTTTCTATGGCCATTCAGTTTCACTTAGCGTTGCATATTTCTTGCTGCAACGTGTCAATGTCGTCTTTCGAGTGACTCACGGACAGAAAATCTGGTGGAAAACAGATTGACTCATTGTAAACATGTTACATTGAACTTTGAAATCGATAAACAATTGGTCATCGAACAGAAGTGACGATTCACGTTTTAATCATAGAACGTTCGATTTTTTAAGTATTTCTATTTCACCCTTAGCAACCAACGAAGAGAATAGGCACTTTTGGTTATTTAAAAACGCCCGTGCATCTGTCGCTCGGGATCTTCGACGCCATGGCGGTTCGTTCGTGCATGTTCCATGGTAAAAAGCAGCGTGCACCGTTGATTTAAATGGACGCGTTTGCATCTGTCCCTCGCGCACCATCGTTTTCAACGACCATTTAAATCAATGACGGCAGACGTTTGCCGTTGGTTAAAATCACGGTGCGCTGAAAAAGAAAAAAAATTACCTTTTATTTTTGATGTCATAGAACACGTTAAATTTGTTAAAAATTTAAATTGAATATTTCCACGTTTGTCGGTGATATCAGGTTGTCGAATACATCAGAGTAGAATGGCCCCGAGCACAAAGGGTTGAAACGGTACTCTCAGGGTGATATCTAGTCCCTTTAGTTCTCACGTATCCTTGGCGAATCTCCTGGTGAAACGGGAGTACGTGAGTAGACTTGCTTTTCAGCTAACTGGTACTACACCCTATAGACGGTGGTCACGTTCCCGGTGTGTGTACCCTTATGAATGAAATCAGCATCGAGTAGAGCGTCTCGTGACGCTTAATTGGAACTTAATTGCTCCGACGTTGGTGATTTACCGTCTTAGCGAAACAACGCTGTTGACGGCACAATGGGGCTGAGTCGTTAGCCTCTTCAAGACAAAGTCGTGCCACCTACAAATTACGACGTTCAGGTGGAGGGAAGCATTAGCTTCCTCCATGTGTATGTATAATAGATTTTTTGCTGCTCGAATTCGTTGCTGAGGGAGCAGGAATTTCGGGCGTTAATTATGCGTGCGTGCATTCCATCGTATACGATCGCACGTGTCTAGCATCCGAGACGGAGAGAGAATTTGCAGCGTCGCGTCGTCTTGCCTTGGTCGAATCCTGTCCTCTTTTCTTCTGGAAGGAAGATCGGAAATGACGACGAAACTACCTAGGAATTTATTCTTCGTTTATATCAGCTGATTCATTGATGGTTAAAGGTGTGATCCGGACTGATTCTTGATATTTGTAGGAAGAATTTCCAAGTGAAAAAATCATTGCGAATATTCAGTGAAAAATTCATGCTCGACTCGATCTGGTTCGTGACACGAATGCATCGACGAAATACGTTTAAAAATTGACTTTCCCTTGGAACGGCTTATGGAACGCGTGTCCAACGAGCAAGTCGAATTGTCCTGTTCGATTCTCTGCATTGTCGCAAGGTCGAACTGGATTTCGAGCGAGGGTGAGCGAGCGAGCGAGTAGTAGCAAGTTCTCCCTATAGGTCGATAGCGAAAACGAGCTGGCACGGTGACGATATTTTGCACGTGCAAGGAAGGAGATATCGATGGTCGGTTTCAGATCAGACAAAAGTTTCACGGTAGATGGGTGTGCACATGTATTTACGAAGGTTCCGCTTAATAGTACAGTCGTTTGCGAAATTATTCGTACCTTTGTATCTCCAATGTGTGCGTTTCATTTGCTAACAGCTTGATGCCATAGTTTCGCGAACGACTGTATATGCAGCATGATATTAGTGGAATAATGTGTGTAGGTTTTTCGTGGACGATCGTGAAAATAATTTCGGGCGCCAGCCGTCCACAGTTCCGACGGATGCGAGGGATTCGTACGACTGATGAAGTTTTATTCGGAAGTGGAGGTTTAACCGTATTAAAATGGCAGGTCAGTCGGGTCCTCTGACGACTCGGTCGGTGCCTGTTTAAAGGTCGCAGGCCGGAACCGGCGTCGAATAATATAATATATTAGCGGTCGTTGGTGGCTTTGAAGTGACGAAAGGTCCTCTGGCTTGGGACCGATCCTCAATTTGTGTGGAACGATTCTGGATCGTCCGTGATTGGGATATGAGTAATTACGTCGTTGATTTATTTTCTGCTCGGCACGTCTCACTTTGCGCGGATGTACCGTCTCGTCTGCTTATAATACGCGATAATAGCAAAGGATAGAAGGATTTTACTGGTTTTTCACCATATTGTCGTTTACTCCCGTTGTGTAACACCACTATGCCCGAGCGTTCTTCAGGGCATCGCGTTCAACTCGCGATAAAGCAACGCGATAAAGTAGTCCGTACAAATAGTATCGTGTTCGGTTTACCGTGACACGAGTAAATATTTGTGCCTGGAATGGTCGATGGAGAGGTTGCAGAAAATGCTCGGTGAATTTCTAACAGCTCGTTACCACCGTGTATACACGATCTATCTGCCAGAGTCCTGTGTTGTGTATATTCCGACGGTGTGTGTGCACTAGTTCGGAAGCCACCTGTAACGATACGGATCGTGTTCCATGCTCTAACAATCCCTCTCCTCTTATCATTATTCGAGAATTTTTCATCGTCGCAAATATATGAAAATATAACATCGAGAATTTTTCATCGATATATGTAAGTTGAAGATGCACGTCGTCGCGTCGGTTCGTCTACCAACGGTTGACGGTGACAAATCGACGCGTGTCAGACAAACTTGCTGTAAAAGCTTTCTAAATGTAATAACTCGAAGAATACACAGGCTGTCGTAGGTACGCGTTTTATATAGCCTGCTGGCATCGAATCAGAGAGTCCGAATGCACGGCCTTGTGCTCAATTGCATTTTCGTCGAATTACGATTCGCGCGATATTCCAGCATTCTGGGTCGTTTACCTTCTGTTGCCGGCATCGAAATGCGTGGGCGGTTCATTCATTGGCCAAGAAAGCATGGACGTGTCTGAAGTATGTACTTGTGCCATTTGGCAGAGTGTCATAGATACACGTCGTACATCTTCATTAATTGGCGCCTCGAATAGCACGCGTATACGCAACTGGGGGCCAACTCCTCCTCGTCTGCACTCGACACGCGTTTTAATTGCTTCGTTTCCGATATACCTCGAGACTTGGTCGAAAGATCGAACCTCGTTGATAAACCGATCGCTTCTTCGATCAACATTTTTATGCAGTTACCTTCTAAAATTCTATAGACTAATTGGAGTGGTAACGCGATCAAGGGAAGTTAGTTCTGTTAAGAGTTAAATATTTTCCTATGGAAAAAAAATACAGTTTGTCAAAGTGTTTATTGCAACGGAATAGCGATCGATATATCGTTTTCAAGTGGTTAGGTTGCACGATGTATCGAATTTTCAAGTACCTACATACGTCAGTACGCGACATTCTTCGAGTACGTTCACACAAACGTTGTCGTAGTCAGCGACTAAGGTGGAGCTTCCGTTTCCGGTAATGAACGTGCCGTATACGAGAATCGACACCATCCATTATATCCTTTATTCGTGTATACTCGCTTCTCAAACTTGACGTTCTTCGATACAAACGTTCCAACTTGTACGAATGATAGAATTTGCTAGAATTTCCTAGAATTTCCTAGTACCTACCATTTGAAAACCCGTCTTAAAACGGCGGTGCAGGGATAATCGGTTGAGTGCACGCGCAATCTGGTGCACCTACACGTACGTAGATCGTCGCGTATCATGGAAATCGCTTCTCCACCGTTCGCCATATGCTCGTTGCTGCTGGTACCGTTGTCGAGACTGCTTATAGAGCCGGTTTTCGTTTCCTGCCGGACACGAAAGAATGGCTAGCCTTGCTGATAGACCAACTCTCTCTCTACCCGCTTCTTTTTGCATACTCTCGATGCTGCCTGTCTATTTTTTCCCCTCTCTTTTCACGCATTCTTCGTGCTTAACGCGCGCGCATTCTTACGCATCCGGCGATCTACGCGTGTTTGACAGAAACTCTTTAACTTAACCCTTTAGCTAGTATACGTAATCGCTGGATAGCAATTTTTTACGTTATTTTATTTATGTAATCAATCGCTTTTGAATTGTACACCCTGTAACTCTACCAACAGCAGGATAATAATGGTTTTTTCCTCGAATTAATGGATATCGATTATATAGGAGCGTACACGGTTCTCCGGATGCAGTCTCCTCCTATTAGAACGCGATCTGACGCGAATCGGAATATTATAAATTGAAATCTATCTATGTTTTCTTCTTTTCTTCTTTTCTTTTTTTCCATCAGTCGAGGAGCAAGTTCGAGCACCGATATAGGCGAATAAAAGAGTAGAAACAGCTGTGGCGACTCGAGGATAGATCGAGACGAAGAGAGACCTCATTGGGAAAACGCGTTAACCTAATTAGAGACGCGGACAATGACGAATCGTGTTGTTTTCAAAGCGATATCTTTTATCAACGAATAATACCCATTATGCCGATGGAACGGTAACAGGATTTCTTTGTCCCTCGATCGATGCATCCCCAAGACGGTTCAACTGTTCTCGAAAGGCGAGACTGATAAAATTGAGAAAAGAGCGAGAGTATCGCTTATCACCTTTCCCTTTCTTTCTTCGCCGATCACCGGTTGCCAATGATACTCGCGGTATTCAACGCGTCGATTGAATTGCTCGGAAACTAATCTGACGAAAATATAGTAAAAGTGTGGTCGAATCGTGGAACAGGTGCGGAAAGCATAATCGGGTTTGCCTTCGCGGAAAATCTTTATCCGGGTATTGTTTCGCGCGCACAAAAGCGTCCTCGGCACGGAATGCCGAGCATTGCGCATAGTCGATACGATACACGACAATTCGATACCTAGAACTCGATCTTCCTTCGTCGTTCCTCCTCGTCTCGACACCGTCTATCGATAACCAATTTCCGGTGAACGTAATCGATTGTCCTCGCCAGTATGTCTTTTCTTCCAAGTATTTTCAATTTTACTAAGGATTCGCAATACGGGTGGTCGTTTCGGTACGGTAATGGATGCAACGATAAGATTTGATGAATTCGACGCGACGCGACGCGACGCGACGCGACGCGACGCATCGAAGTCTCTGGAGGGACTCGAAAGAGAAAGAGAGTCGAACGATCGGACAGTTTGGTGCGGTGGTGGTCGAAATACGAAAATTCCGAAATTCCGGACGCGCCAAAGTGTTATCTAACTGAACGACGCGGCGCGGCGCGGCGTCTGTTGGCGTCGAGCGTTCCACCGGTGCCGCCGCTTTTCGCATTAGTCATCGGGTACGAAAGGCGAAAGGCGGTTCTCCTCGTCGTAGTCCAGTTGTAGGCGAGTAAGCGAGCAACAGCAGCAGCAGGTATACGCGTATTTTGTTTCGCTCCAACGACCACCGTAGTTGTCTAAACAACGAACGATTTCCAGGTAGAGAACGGTACAGCCTGCAGAGATAATCTGGTGACTCTAATTGCCTTAAAAAACGCGATACCGACCAACGACGACGTTATGGTACCGTGCTGCGAGAGTTACTCATTTACCCGTAAATCTCTTCTCCGCGATCCCTCCGCGAGCCCAGTTGCTTGACTTTCGCGAATCGATTTCCTCCCACTCGCGTTAAATTCGGCCGTCGCGTTACGGTAGGTCGTTAACCGACCAGTGTACATACCTAATATTTACGCTCGTTCCTATATCTTGAAGCGTAAATTCGTCGAACTTTATCGACACCCCTAGATCGGATCGGGAATCGGTTCGATCGATCGATCCAGAGGATTCGATTAGACGTCGTAGCTGGGTTGGGTGCTACTCGAAAAAAAAAAAAAAAAAAAAACGGTTGACCCTGAAAACCTACGTACGTGCGTGCGTATATACTTTGCGTTCGAGCCACGTTGCTCGTGTCCAGAGGTACGGGGAGAGAGAGAGAGAGCCCTTCGTGACAGGACCCCGCCCTGTTGTCGAACCCCCATACCCCGATGTTCACCGAGAGAGCTCGAGACAGGGCTGCCACCATCCGAACCAAGTCCCGGGGTGCCGGGCTCAGCCGGTACGTTCCTGCCTCCCTGCCCGTCTCTCCCGGAGCTCATTCTTTCTCTGACCGTCGAGGAGTGCGGATCGCAGCGATACACACGGAGAAACGGAACTCGCTCGGTTGTTCAGTGAACGGAAACGCACCAGCACCTACCAAGAACGCGTACGAAACGGAGTCGTGATTCGCGCGTACGCGCGACAACCCAAACAGACGGACGACGATTGTTCACCCGTTCGATTTATCGAACGATTCGATTATCGGCAAGTTTTTGTGCGCGCGCGTTGCTTTTCGGCCTCCCCACGCTCGACTAACCTCGGGACAAAGACCGAGAGAGGAGGTGGTACGCGTACGCGAGTCAGACAGAAACTCTGTTCTGTTCGGCGGGAACAAAGGAAGAAGAAGAGGAACGGTTGGTGCATCGAGACACAAGAGAGAATCGTCGTCGTCGTCGAGAAATCGAAGCGGAGAAGGAACCGCGAACCGATCGATCATCGGCCCCGAGCGAACTGGTTGTTGCTGCTCCTCACGCATCTCTCTCACGGGGGTGAGTTTCGCATCGCGATTATACGCGTTCCTGACGTTCCTGACGTTCCCGACGTTCTCTTCTGGAATCGACGCGATCTTATCCCAGAGATAACCGCGTATACCTGTTGTTTGTCGTTGTCGTCGTTGTCGTCGTTGTCGTTGGTGCGATTTGGAAGTTGAAGTGTACTTGCACGAGGTACGAGGGAAAATCGAGACTTTTGGAGTAGAAGAGTGTACAGAGTGTCGCGACCGGGAAAAAGAGGGAGGAAGGGAGGGAAAGAGATTGTAAGCGCGAGAGGGAAAAGGAAAAGCCGAGGGGAGAGAATGAAAGAATAAGAGAGAGAGAGAGAGAGAGAAAAAGAGTGAGTGTGCGCGCGCGCGCGTGAGCTGTACGCTGGTGACAGAAAGACGGTCGGACGGACAGACGGACGCCGCTTCCCCTCTGTTTCTCTCTCGCCAGTCGGTCGCGCGTTACCGAGCCAAGTGGATGAGTTCGCGAACGCGCTCCCGCTAAAAGCTCCTCTTCTCTTGTCTTGTCTTGATCGTGGGTGATTTCGGTGTTTCGTTATCCCCTTGATTCTCTAGCTCGCGAGTATCCTCTTCTGTGTTCTGGCCGTTTTCCCCGTTTTTCGCCCCTCGTGTCAGTCTAGACGCCACGCGCATCGTGTCGCGTCTCTCCTCCTCTCAGAATAATATATCCAGTGTTGTTTCTTGTGCGGAACAGCGACGAAGGAGGACGCTCTTGACGGGAAAAATTTCACCCCGTCGCGACACTTACGACGCCCTCGAGGTGAGTAACAAGCGTCGCGAGTGCCAGGCATTTGCTCGTTTTCGTTCGTTATGCCGGCTTCGGGTCGCGCGCGTGTGCACACCTCGTCCCCGCGTGTGCGGTGCGTGCCATCGCTTCTTCCAGTTTTCTTTTACGATTTGCGAAGCTTATCGATTCCTCGGTAAAGTACCCTAAACGTTTCATCTACGTTGGCTTGCTTGCTTTCCCTCAGGAAGTCGAGCGAGACACCTTCCAGCATGTTTCGAGCGGGATTTCATGCGTGTACCCCCGCGCCATTTTGAACATGGGCACCATCAATCGATATAGCGGTCGCCGTACGGAGCCGGCTTTCCGTTCTATCATTTCGAACGGGCTTTTTCACGATACGTTCTCTCCTACTTCTTCTTGTTGATGTGTTTTTGAAAGGAGGATGAAAATAAGGAAGGTATCTGGTCCCTTATTGCGATCGTAGGATCGTTGGGAGCAGCGGCCGGTTACGCCATCTTGATTCCTTCTCCCACCAGTTGGCCGGTATTAACCCCCGAACGATCGACCGTACGCACGATTTCAAGACTACCAGTGACCTTTCCCTCCGGCTTCGATCCATTAGAATCTCGCAATCGCAATCGCAATCGCAATCGCTTCGCGTGCTATTCCTATTGCTTTGGTGCCACATGGATGGAAGACCATGATGGATTTGACGCAGCGAGAAAACTCGCCAAACGCTTTGTCCGCTTCGCAGATTTAGCGTTCGGCTGTTACCATGGCAAAGGAAAGGAAAGGAAAGGAAAGGAAAGGAAAAGAAGGAGAGGGATAGAAAGGAGATACGTTCTTGCCAGGCTGGGTGCCTTAAACAGAGGCAGGCGACGTGTCTGCCTGCCTACAGTTTCTCTCCCTCTTCTCTTTCTCCTTTGTGCCGATTTTGCATAGCAGGCCTCTACCTGCCGTGCATTTAAAACGCAGTCAAGGCTTCCACGGAAGCGATTGTTGTCGCTCGGGGAATGGCAGTTGGTGGAGAAAGGCCGAGAAAATGTTGGCCTAGCGAGCCTTTGCTCTCCGTCTTTGCATCATGTTGCTATTCTTCTCCCTTTTACTTCTCAATCGCCATCGGGGCCAACTCGATTCTTGCTCGTTTTTTGCTTCCCGATTTAGAGTTCCACTGTTTGTTTTGCACTCGAACGCACCTGCGTTCTATGTGGTATCGGTCAGCGATTTAGATACGGTCCAAGTGTACGCTCGAACCCTTCGAGCAAGTACCTACTTTGAGAATCGTACGTACAGGGAGGGTGATGCTGTCAAGTGCAATAGAATGAATTTACTAGCACGCGAATCAGCTGCTTTTTTCCACTGACCGCGGCTGCCGCGATCGACGGCAACCAGTTTCAAGCAACGCCGAGTCGACGCGATAACGGGTCGTTAACTTGCCCACATCTGCCTTTCTCTCGTTTACCAGAACGATGGAAAGAGCCGTGTCCGACTGCTCGGGCAGACGTGCACGCCTCTGAAACGCCTCACGGCTCGACCGGTTTTTCGCGAGAAAACTGCTCCTCTTCGTTCTTCCGTTTCTTCTGCATCTTCATTTTCTTCACTTTTCTCGAAAGTTTAATATTTTATACTTTGCCATTGGTATATTTCCACTCCACCATAAGACTATTTCTATTTTAACAGAGATTGCACAAGTTCCCGCTATCTACATATTGTTTACGGTATATTGAACGGTCGCTGACGTCTTCTCGTTATTTTCTTATCCATTGTGAGGGAGGTTTGTTCGCGTTATCCATGTCTTCTTCTTGTACCATTCTTATCCCTATCTTACCGTGTGTTTACGCGAGCCTTTTCGACTCGGCTACCAGGGACTTTCACCCTTTACCGGGCAAAGGTTCGCTCGCGGTGTTTACACGAGTCGAAGGGTGCAGCACGCGCCTGTTGGACTCCGGCCGAAAATAGATATCCACGCATTACTCCGGATACGCGTTATATTTTTAAGCTCACTCGAACCGACTGTTTTCTGTGCGTTTGTGGCTTTACCCTATAGGACCGATTCTGGCCTGCTGCTGCTGCTGCTGCTGCTGCTGCACCACCTTTCGTAGCACCCTTTCGCCTGCCACGCGATTTTCATCGCTCCCGTACGCGCTACGCACGCATTCACGCACGTGCGCAACTGTTGACGCATGCGGGACACGCGCCTGAATACGGGCCGACGATGTCGTTCTCTCGGCACGCTCATAATTCTCAATTTCGAGAACAGTGGGCCGAGCAGATGTCCTTTTTCGAGGACGAATTATTCGCTCTCCTAGGCTCATTCTTTTTCCGTCTATGGATGTGTGCGTGGAATTAGGCTGTTGAAAATAATGGACGATTTATTGGGTATGGCTCCGTGGGAATCGACCGTGTTCTCACATACACACACACTGTACAGATATGTACAAGGGGAAAAGAATAGTTTTTTTCCTCCTTCAATAGGGATCACCGATGACCAACGTAGAAAATTTGATTGAAAGAAATAAACTGGAAAGTGGAATTAGAATCATACCGCGTCTGACTATACGCGTCTATTTTCACTGCGGCGTTGAACGCGTCAACGATTAGCGAAACGCGAAAGTGCGTTCGATCGTTGATTATATGATCGTTCTACGAGAAAATAACTTCTGAGTCACAGGACAAACGCGTTAAGAACTCCGTATCATCGTTATCGTTTCTTTACCAAGAAATCAACATTCTTCTTTAATCGCTTGCACTCGATTCGTACGCTCGTGTCAATCGACTTTAGTATCGTTAGAATCGCATAAACGTCGACATTTTCTCATTAGCATCGCCTGGAGCAGAGTGTCCGTTATGGAATTTAGTTGGCATACATTGTCACGAACCATCTTGCCGTGACATCGTCGTTAAACCCTTAATAGTCTTCGACGGCAGTGACCTCTGAATGCGCTTATTAATCTATTGAGCGGATCTACAGAAAGAAATCTTGCCTGTGTGTTCGTTTCATTTTGTGTACTCGTTGTCCGAGTGAATAGATAATTAGTTGAGATTAATCGTGTCTTTAAACTAAAATCGTAATCTCTCTCTTTGGTAAGTATTTACTCGTGACTCATTTACAGAATTTCTGTTTATCTTTCTGTTCTTCTTATTGTGATTCATCAAGTTTTCCTTGACACTTTGATGCTCGAACGTTTCGTGAAATTGATGACTCTTGCAGTTTTATATTTAATATTTTGTAATATCTCGATTAGTCATAAAAGGCTCGAGGACTTTTGATAAGTCCAGATACCAGATCATTGCGCGATTCATAGAAACGACACGGTTACGTTAGCTATTTGTCTTGTTTTTAGAAAAACAATTATTGTTATCGTTGTCGTTGAGTCGTTGAGTCGTTGAGTCGTTGAGTCGTTGAACCGGTGTCTCGAGCGTGAATCGAAGAAACGAGTGGTTTCAATGGCGCGACCGACTTCCTTTTCTGCTCTTTAGTTACGCCGTGTTTTACACGTTGACGCGTACTATATACCTATTATGAATTGTGCAACACTGAAACGATACAACGCGTATTATTTTAGCCGCTTTTCGTTAGGAGAACAATCATTTTTAAGATAACGCAATTGGCACCGTGAAAAATAATTCCAATCGGTAGGTTAGCAATGACGTAAATAGCGTAAGTATAGAACAATCAGCGCGAGATAAATGGTAGATGCACGTGAGTTACGAGAGGAAAAGCTATTTTTCTCGCGAGATACCGATTCTATGCTTCCCACGAGTTACGATAGTTCGACACGTGTTTCAGTCTCGCCACTCACTGCAGTTTCCATCTATGTACATAACTTCCAGCCATGCTTTAAATCTATTTTTTACCGTCACATCGTTCGGAGTACCCTTTCAAGTTGCATATGTTTCGTTGCACTCTAGAGAAAGAGAGAAGAAACAACGTAAATATTTGTCGAGCTCTTCCTGCTGTCTAATATATGATCCAGCCTAATTATACGCTTCCTTCTCGCTATGGTTTCTGTGCCTGCTGATATTTCATCGTGTCACATTTTTTTTGGAGCATCTTGAAGAAGAAGAAAAAAAAAATCGTTCAACGTTTTCCTCTATCCGATCCGGTTATTTTCCTTGGAAGCGAGCAGTTCGATAATGTTTGTCGTAATTCGATGGACTTATCATCGAGCGGGGAAACGAAGCGGAACTTTTAATAGCTTTTCCCTTCTCTCCAGCGAACCGTGGCTCCTTTGTGCCACGAGTATACTTGAATTTGTTCGGAAAATTCGGTAGCCACGAACGAGGGGGCGGTTGTTTCGATAACTAGCAAGGGTGGGCTCATTGCGAGCCCTTATTCTGTTACGTAAGAATCTTAGCCTATTTTCCTTATGTGAATTTAGATACCAATCAGCTATGTTTTCTTTTTAAATTGAAAGTAATATAGAATGTGGAAGAAAACACATCTAACCAGCTAACACATTAACGCAAGTCTGCTGTTGTAGCTTATAGAGGGACCTCGAAAGTGCAATGCACCGTGAATAGCCTGCGCCAGAGACAAATGGTATTATTCAGTGACAGTGATACTCGCATTCAGGCCGCGTTACTTCTGTCTTAGAAAAGCTGTTCGTATCATTTATCATTAGCGACGTGTTTAATCGGTAGAAATATAGCAGGGGCTCGAACGATATAAAACCGGTCTCAGATGACACTATTGTGGCGTCGAAGGTACGGGTGTATTTTTTCTAAATTTAAATATGCCTGGAAGGCAGAATTGTTGCGTAGCGCAGAGATCGGTTTAGGTCGGTCGACAGTTAGACGATTACCGTTAGAAAGCAGAAAGCTAATTCAATCTACCCACTTTCCGCTTATTGAAAATCCTTATTCATGAAAATGCCGTATCACGAGTATGTACGTCTCGTAGCGTTTCTATCATCAACTACCGATCGATTATTCGAGTCGCGTTCCAGGTTTTCTCTCATTCCCAGAGAAGAAGGAAGTGCATAGTTATATAGCCCAGATGGTTTGTTGCTGGATCGAGTTCTCGGTCATTTTTCTCGGTCGAGACAAAGTGCGAGTTCTCTGGTTGCTCGGTCAGCGGCGCGTATCCTCGCCACGTGCTCTTTAAACGCTCGTCTACTACGCGTTCGACTTTGCTTCCTCGTCGTGCTAGTTTTTCGCGATGCTCGCTCGAACAACGGATCGCTTCCTCTTCGTGAGAGAAGCTTCGAACCGTTAGCCATCGTCCACCTCTCTTTTCTACCAACGATAATTACACTTGAACGTTTGAAAGAACCTCTTTTTTTTTTTACGTTTCTCTTCAACTCTCTTTGTCCCTTTCAACTGAACGATCATCCTTGTCTCAAAGTTATTGCTGTTGGAAGCTAACGAGTGTAAATTGTGTCGCTTTTACCCTCGAAAAGGTAAAATCGAAACGAAAGGCTAATGAAAAGAAGAAATTGAAAAGCAACGCGTAGATAAGGTTTTAAATTTATGTTCTTATCGGTCTGACTAATGCAGAACGATAAAGCTGTTTCATCCGTTCGGTCAATCATCTGTTATCGAAGTTGTTTGCCCGCTCACTTTCGCTGGTGTTGATTGCAGGTCAGTTTTGTTGGACGCGCGACACCTGATCACAGCATCCGGAAAGCGCAAACGAGAGACAGGTGATAGAAAAGGGGATAGAGAGGCAAAGCGAGTAAGATGGGAGCGAGACAGAGCAGAAGGTCCGTGGACATAACGACGACGCCTAAGAAGGAGGGGATACCCGCGGAAGGAGGTGTCGTCGGTGATGCTGCTGCACCTGGCGATGGCAAGTTGGAAAGGATCGAGGAGACCGACACGAAACCTACCACCAATGGTATAGCGCCTCACACGGACGTGGCCGAGGATAAAGACAAGGATAAGGATGATGCAACGGAAAAGGAGAAGGATAAGGAGAAGGTAAGAAAGCTTCGATACTGTGGTCCTCAAATAGGAAGCGATTTTTTTCATTTCCTTTTACTACGGAAACGCGTGAAGCGTATCTAGCGGGTCGATCGTCAGAATAGTAACAGTAATCGATCAGTGTAGTTTTTATTCAACGTCAATAATAGACGCGACGTAATGACGTGTCTGCGTCGAGAAGTCGCGTCATCGTCGATGAATCGATTGAATTTAATAACCGAGTCATAGAAGATTGTTGCAAAGAAAATCTCGAGCGAAATGCATATGCGATTACTTTCGTCGTTGGTCGAGCGATGATTCACTGATGCAGCACGATGAGTTCTTCTCATTAGTTCAAAGCGAATTTTTCATGGAAAACAAATGGATAAGACGGTGGACGGAAGTCGTGAGCGTGCGAATCAACCTTTAACCTTTTGCTCTCGTAATTGCCTGAATACAATATATCAGCTCGTAATTAATTTTTCGACGCGTTCTTTGTGCACGGTGCAAAAAAGGAACGAACGTTTATTTTTAGATTTCGTCTAGACTTGGTTTAAAGTAGCAAATTCCAAATAGTTTGAGAAGCGACTCGCGGAAGAAAATTGAAAAAGGACGAAAACCGAGGCTGTCAGTTACCGGCGCCGGCGCCTCGACGTTTTCTAGTCGCATCGAAAGTTCCAACTGTCGCTCTCGTCAAATCCGCATAAACACCGTCGATGTGCGTATATCGTGAAATGCTCTCTCGACTAGTCGAAACTTGATATTTCCTCGATTGAGCAACCCCGGCAGCTGTCATGCACTAGATACGGTAACGCGTGCGGAAAAGAGGAGGGAAACTATAATAGTAGAACTTCCCGCCTCTTCCTTTCATTTCCGTTTAATAGCGGTTCTTTTCCTATTTTCTTCTCGTCCAATGTTCGATGTACGCGTCGCTTAGTATCATCTTAATGGCTTATCGTACGGCTCGAATTTTTTATCACCGTATGTACACGTTAGGCTTTACGTTTTACTGTCATCATTTCTTCGCGATGTGTTTATCGATTGCGTTGCCTTTCTAGATCGCGTGTAAAGCTCGCGAGAAAGCGGTGCACTTAATTTCCTAGAAAAGTGTATTCTTACATGCGGGGAACGCCTATTGTGCCACTTTGCGAAAACGGGAGTAACGGTCTTGCTTTAGAATTGGGAACGGAATAAATTTCAACGTTATCTTATTAAACATTAATATTGAAAAAAAAAAAAAAAAAAAAAAAATCATCCGTAGGATGTTAACGTTTTACTCGATTCGAGAAGGAAAGTGTTAAGCGAGAATACGTGATCTCGTCTCGAAATTTTTCTCGCCAAGGTAGATCGATTTCTCGGTCTAACTTTCACGAAACACGAGTCACGCGAACACCTGTTGTAATTCTTCGTAAACGCGTTATGTATATCAGTCGCACAATGATTCGCGATCAGTGGTTGCGGATGCGCGGAGATAACCGAGTACGACGCGTGTAACGCACGACTTACCGAGATTACGCGACGTTTGTCCTACATAGATTCGCGAGAAATACACGAGTTTTTCTGTTCGCTGAATTTTCACGAGGGAAAAAGAATCGCGATTACCGTTTTACCGGAGCTCGGTACACTTGGTTGGTACAGGTGTACGCCTTCTTTCAGACTAACTGTATTCGCGTACGTTCGCGCGAGCCTGTTCTTTACCGATGCGATGCATACCTAACTGTCCTCCTGGACAAATAAATCTTTTCTCCTCTCTCTCTCTCTCTCTGCCCATCGTGTCGCGTTTCAATATATTTTCTTGCAGTATTAAGAAATGAGATAATCTGTGTTATCGAGAAATTGCTAAATATTGGTCAGGTGCGCGGAGGCACAAGTTTGCCGACAGCATCTCTCGGGTACATTGCAAAATCTCGAGGCAGGTGCGCGAGGTTCCTCTTGCTTCTCGCATCGAACACCTGCCCTTGATAGTTTGCCTCGACCATGCCAGCCAACCAACGTGGTCAGCGATCCTTTATTTTTCGCGAACCGAGGATATACGGCGCGCCAGGGCCCCAGTGTTTTGCGAATAATTTCAGATGTATAGGGTGGTCAAGAAATCGAGTCAGTGTATCTCATATAATTCGAATTGTAAGTACGAGACGTGAGAGAAAAAAAAAAAAAAAACCAGTTCCAATGAACAAATACTTTTGTATCTGAACAGCCGTAACTTGGAGTCTTTTTCTTTCAACACCCTATATCTGTTCGACCTGACCATTCGACGAGCCATTCCAATAGAACCATCGGACCTTACTTTCGTAACCTTGACCGTGCAGTTTAACCACACGATACAGCAGCAGCATGAGCTATGGCGCGGCTGGTCTCGCGTGTTCCGGTGGTTCAATTAAAATACAATTTCGGAGTTGCCGGCATGCGGGTCGATGCAAGTAAAATCACGTTTACGAGGTTTCTCTCTGTTCGTCGATGAAAGTTCTCTCGCGATTAATCGCGGTATAGGTATATCCACGTTACCGAGTGACCTGAATTCCACGCGTGTGTAATGTTTTATTTCGCGCAGGAGATGGTTAGAACGCAGCTCGAAGGGAACACGCGATGTTGTTTTAGACGCGGACTCGCGTTAACCTACACCGTAGGTACTTGATGAACGCTTTTTGCGTGAATCATCGCGCTCGACACCAGCTCGGTTTATTAATTAATACGAGACGCGACTCGTCTGTTTGCTTCCACTAATTAAAACTGCCTGCTGTTTCAATTCCATCGAGTATATTCTTCACGAGTACCGACGATAATGCAATGCTGCCTGCTTGAAAAATTTGTCGTTGCCAATGCGAAACGAGTTCTCCTATTATAATTTTTCAGAAATTACAATCGCTGTTAACCAAGAGAAGTAGTCTACGTTGCATCAGAGTGTGTACATGTACGGAATAAAAGCAAAGGATCAAGGTTTTGTTCCAAGAGAGAGGGCGATTATCCGCACGAAATTCGCAGATCCTGTGTGCCCTTGTCTCTCGTCACTCGTATATCTCGTTCGTGTTTCTCCGACGAATTCCTCCTCGCGTGAAAATCGCGTCACCGTAACAAAACACCATTGTTTTGCAATGTTTCGCGATTATTACCGGACATTCGCTCGACCGAGTAAGATTTTTAGCGGCAACAAGCGTGATTCAACGGTGAGGAATTCGTCGTAGAAACTGTGTGTGCACCTGCATTCGATGTCTCTCGTCCTTCGCGTGGTTGTCCTCGAATCGTGGACATTTCTCTTTGTGTATCTTGCTACCGTTCGATCGACAAACGCAACAGATTTTCCATCGTTCCAACGCGTCTGCGAACACCTTTGAATATCAAATTCCGAGTTAACACTGCATAGATTCTTTTATTTATAACACGTGTCAGACACCTGGCGCTTGATCCCATGAATATTTAACTGACGTTACAGTCACGGCTAGAAGAATGATGAAAAGTCTGAAAACTTTTGTTTTTGTTTTTATTTTTATTTATTTTCATTTTCTCCCTGAGGAAGGAAACGATTATTTATCAAGTTTTACCGATCAATTCGCGATTAGCACAGAACGGGTTGAGCGAAAGGGTTAATCGAGGATGTTGAGATAAGGGAAATCGAAAGAGAGAGTTTGCGCGAGTTGAAATCTTTCGTAATTTATCTTGACGTACGTTAATGAAACGGCTGGAAGAGAAGGCGCATCGGTTGCATCCTCAACGGCGGTTATATGTATACTTACTCGTATGTACTGTATGCGTACAGTGCCATTGTACTCTGCGCCTACGCCACACGCGACTCTCCAATATGCTTCTCTTTCTTCTGCCATCAGACAAGTATTCAAGTATATATATATACATACTTCGAATTCGCCACCATATCCAACACTCTATCGTTCTCCATCTGACCGGCTGCTTGGAACAAAAATAACCGGGTATTTACATAATATAATGCGCCTGCGACCCAATGGAAGATTCTCTTTTGTCTCTTTTCAAGCAGACAGGGAGTGTTGCACCTTGCTCCTCGCTCCTCGAACGAATATTGACGTTTCGCGAGGAAAAAATGAAAAATTTGTCGAACAAACAGCTTAGAATGTCTCTAGTCGATCTCTCGATTAATAGTAGAAATACATATGCATCTGAGAACGAGCTTCCTTTCGATGAAATAAACGCTCGACTTGCGTCGTTCTTGGCGGATAATGGCTCGATTGTTAGCTCGATTAATAGCGGAAATATACGTAGCAAGGCAGGTTGGCTTCGTAGCACACAACGATGATATGGAATTGTTCTGGGGGATTTGCATTGATAATAAAGCTGGAATCAATGTTTACTCGATCGAAGACTCTGCACGATTCAAGACGGTCTTCAAACAATGCTCGATTGCTCCGATACTCTATTACTACTTCATTAAACAAAAACAACGTCAGCGAAACGTTCAAACTAATTATTCATAAAATAGAATATAAAGACGTCGAGGGCTTATAGAATAATTATTATTCGATTAAATAAATGACGCACACTTGTTCACTTTCCCTCATCACCGCTCGGGCCCTTATTTATTAGAAGAAATTCTCTCTTATACCTGAGATTTCTGATTACACAAGGTGTTTCAGACGATCCTCTGGGCCGGAGAACCACTGAAAGTCCCGTGTAATCCGAGATTTTCGCGGTTTCATCTCGTACGTCGTTCGAGCCGCAGCTGTCCCATTCTGATAAGTCTCGCAACTGTTATTGCGAGCACACTCTCCGCTTTTTTTTCCCCCCTTCTCTTTGCTTTCGTTCCTCTCGATCGGTTCTCTTCAGCGATTTTCTTGCGGCTCTTCTACACCTAACCAGAAACGACCAACAGGTTTCGATGGTGGAACGTGATCATGGAAAATTCGCCCGCCGCGCCACGATGACGCAATTCCACTACCGACCGGCAGGTGATGAAATTCCGCATTGAAATCAACCAAACCAACTTGTTCTTATCGGAAGACGAATTTATCTGCCTCGATTGGAAAATTTCTTACCTATTTATTTGAATGTACTTCGAATGACAGCAGACGCAATTCAATTCGGGGAATCTTTTACATGATTTTGTAATTCGCAAACCACCTGCTGCCACGTGCTCCAAATTTTCATCCAGATTTCACCAGTTTCACGCGCAGCTGAAGATAATTTTTTACTGAATCGAACAAAGACACAGCCTCTGCTCGTTTACTTTCGAAAACTGCTCGCTTAACGACTCGTTGCGTAATTATCCAAGGAAATGACTTAATTGTGCATTTCTTCGGTGTTTTTTACAGTCAGAAGAAGCAAAGCCCGAAGAAACGAAACAGGAGTCGGCTGGAGAATCTGCCGCGGAAACGGCAGAGGCCACAACACCTACAGAAGCTAATCCCGCTAGTCCTAATGCTGTCACTTCTCCAGAAAACAAGGAAACCAAAAAGAAGGACAAGGTGAGATCGATTGCGTCGAATAATCACGATGCACGGAACACGAAACGTCATTGATTACACGGTAGAAACTGGTAAATTTATGCTTGTGCCAAGAAGAAACATTTTAATTGACGACGATTCTATGAGCCCCAGGGTATAATAAGCATTTAATTGTTATTCATCAGGGTATGATGGAAAATTAATGGAACAATAATTCGTAGCAGAAAATATATTAATTTTGCTGTAGAAACTAATTTCTATGAATTTCATCATTATTCGCTATCTTTCATGCGCGGTGATCGACCAAAGTTATCGCCAGACCAAAAGACTTCGTGTTTACGTGTTGTTTAGAAAAATAAGTCACATGGTTGCGTGTAATGAGTTCTTCGATCATTATCGAGTGCCGTTTCCTCGTTCATAGATGAAGAAAAAGTGGTCCTTCAGGTCGATCAGCTTCAGCAAGAAGGACAAGAGTAAGCCTGCCCGTGAAGAAGCACCCAAGAATGGAGACGTCACCAAGGAGGAGCCTCTCGCGGAGGTGAGTACTGTCTATATACCTTATCGGATTCCAGTACGCGTTTCTTGTCTCCCTGTAGTCTCCCTCGACACGATGATACAAGAAAACCATGAATCCCTATGGTCATTGGTTCCGTTAATTGTGTCATCTTCTCGTCTTCTAAGAGAAACGTTCTCGCGATTTACTATTCTTTATTGAAGACAGAAAAGTTGATTGATTAAGTGTCGTAGCATGATATTATTTTGACATTGTACTCCCATGTGTCTTTTTAGTAATAGGACGAAGCCATCGCTTACGATTCGAGTCGTTTCAAATCTAAAGCAATTAGCGTCAGAACGATCCAGGGTATAATTAATAAATAAGCTACAGTTAATTTGACATCGAGGAGAATTGGTTGTTAAAGGAACGGTAGAGGACGAAATATTTTTATCATTGTCTGCCAATGTACTTACGCGAGTTAATAGAAGTTGAAATACGATGGTGAAACGAGCGTAACGCAGGCCACCGTTCACTGGAACATGATTTGTGCTCTCTGTTCGATTCCAGCCGATCGGTATAATCGAGAACGACCACGCGATAACCGTCACGGATCGAAAGCTCGACCGGTGTTTAATTGGCCTCGAGACGTCTAATAAATCCTCCAGCCTTTCGTGATTATCTGAAATTTATATTTGCAAAAAAATCATCTACGAATGAATATTATAACGATCGACGTTAACAAAGTTCTCTTGCGAAAAGATAATATTTGCCTCGCCGTCCTCCATCCTTATTTTTTCAATTAACATTTACAGAGTCGGTTGCAGTACGATCAATTCTGTAACTAAGTACTTTGTAAAAAAGTTTGTCTAAAGTTTGATTTCTACGCGCGTGACTTGGCAAAGTACCTTGGTGTTTTATCCTCGCGTCGCGTCGGTTGGAATCTTTGCTCTGTCATTGATATTTCTTCTTGTGCCAAGGATAGTGCCGAGACAGGTTATTGAAAAATCGTGTCGAAGAATCACGAAGAAAATGATACGTCTAATGATAAGTTATCATTTCAAGAGTTTCGCGATTTACATGGAGCAAGGCGACCGTACTGCATGCCACTTGAACAATTAATCGATATTTACGGTCGCAACAATATAATCGTTTACAGTATCCGCGATAAGCAACAACATTACTCATACGATGAGCCAGTCTCCTCAGGTTGTGTTGGCTGTCGTGGAACTAGCCCCGCGTAGGCGAACCTCCTAGCCTCTCAAGATCATCAGGGCTAATCTCCTCGTTTCTTTACCACCTTCTTCATCTTCTCACCGCTCTCGCTCCTTTTCCCTCTTTCTCGTCCTACAACACTCCCTTTCCTTCTCTTCAACCTCGTCTGTACAAAGTGGGAAGGGCGTACAGCCGTGACTCATCATCCTTCTTGTTCGTCGTAGCTCGCGAGTTTCGTGATAGGCCGCCATGGAAAACCGGCTTCGAAGTCACTGAATTATCCCCCTTGCTTCTCTTTCATCCGCTTCAGGGCTGTTCCCTCTTCACCTTGTGTGAGTGCGCGCGCCTCGTTGCATCTCTGCATCTCGTCCTCCTCGTCTTCGCGGCCGTGATCCTAAAGTCCAACGATCGTGCCACCTTAATTCCTCAGAATTAGCTGTTCAGATTGACACTTTTCTATCACTGTCCTCCCGTACGTGGCTAACGAGTCTATGACGTTATAAATCGATTTACCGGACCAGTTCGTAAAAGTCTATCGAGGGGATATGATCGATGAGCTGGTATCAGCTTCGTTAGACGCTGAAAGACCAGCAACGAAGAAGAAACGCGTAGGTATCATCGAACGGGTACTAGCCATGGATATCGCGAGCGGGTGCGTTCGAGCGCGACTTTCACTCGCTTGGCATTCCGAGTCATTAAGGAAGCTACAAGTGGTGATGTGCTGACTCGTAATAGCGGGATGTCATTGTGCAGCTTGTTGTGACACCACCATGAAGAGGGCATCGTTTGCCCTCTGCCCGCCCTCGTTGCTTCGAATTCCGTTAAAATGCCTCGCTGGAGCGTTTGTTAGAGCCAACCTGATTTTAGCTGGCTTTCCGCTAATTTTATCATTTCGGAAGATTAAATAATAACCAGTGAAATTTAGGGTTTCTGGTGAACGTATAGATTCCAGTCAATGGGCCGTGACTTTTGCTTAACGCGTATATCCGCCCACGGTAGTCTGCGGGGCGGTTGTTGAACCTGTTAGCGAATTCTACAGATATAATACATAGGTACTAGAGAAAACTGGTGTCTTTAAATCTGGGGATAGTTGGGGTACAGCATTGTAACCGTTAAAAGGTTACTCGATGTTCCTCCAGGTACATCGGCATCGCTCGGTTTTGCGTGTGCGGATCTTTTTTACAGACGCGAACGACTACGCGCGGTGTGGTCTGGCATATGGTTCCACATCATGGAATGGGAATGGGAGTGGTAACGCTTGTATTCTTCGAAACATCACCATCCTACGGGACGTGGAATTATAACGATGATGGTCCCTTCGTCGTTCATAAACAAGTCTCTTGCTCCTGCCGTAGGAAAAGAAGAATTAAAGGGCGCGAATATCGAGTCGATTTCCTACGGGAAATGAGACGTATCTGTCAGAGAAATCGGTAACGGGGCTCGACAGGGACCAGTATACGCTTGTGTTACTCATTGTGCTCGGTGGTAACCACGGTTCAATGGCCCAAACTTCCCGGATACGCTTACCTGTCGCGAAAAAAAAGCTCCGCTTCGACGTTGCGTGGAGTTCGTTCACACTGCGCGATCTAGTCGACTCGACACACCCGTTAGATAAGCTACTATCGCGTCGGCGATCGGGGCTTCGACTCGCGCCTCGTCCTCCTACTCAAAGTTCATCCACCATCGCATCGATGCGTGTTCATCTTTTTTTTCCTCGGGTATAGTCGCGTTAACGTGGCAATCGTACCTTGATTTCATTCAAGGACTATCGCTAGGTATAATACGCTTTTATTTACCGAAGAAACTGCTCGTTACTCATCGTGGCGCGGCGCGGCGATATCTCCCCGTTCCTCTCGCAATGTCACCGTGATAAAGGCATGGTTGTGCGTTAAAAATAACGCAACCGTTTATTTATTGTTCGTTCAGAGGCGTAATTTACGCGACGACATAAATTCACGTAATCGGCTCTCTTTCTCTTTGCTATCGTACCTATACATATATGTACGTATACTACGCGAAAGTTTTATGCGATCGTAAACAAGTTGGTAACAGCAACGATCCACGTATGTTAGGAAGAAGTTTCTTGCTCGTTCCCTGCGTACGAATTTAATGAAAACCTTCTCCGCGTTTGCTTCAAACTTTTTTTTCACGATCGAGAGAAACTATCCCCTCGATAGATGGAAGAAGTATCCTGAAGTGGCAAGTGCTTCTCTTCGATGAAGCAAAGATCGAGGGAGCTGAGCTTAAGGATCGCTCGAGAGTCTTTGCGTCTGCTGCTCGTGTCCCCGGTTTCGCACCTACGCGAATGCCACATTGTTTCCAAGCAGCCACCCTCGCGCGAAAGCGTTGCCTACCGGTGCTGGTCCCGTGGCTGCTTCTTTTTTCTCCCCTTTCACTCTAAACTTGCACGTTGCCTACCCAGTAACGTAGGGGAGTACATATATCCTGTATGCGCGGTGTACAGAGCGTGGCTTTTATTCTGAAAGAGTTGAAACGGTTGAAAAGGGAAAGAGGGGGTGAGAAGTTGGCACGAGCAGAGTAGTATTAATTAGCAAGAGAGGGTGGGCAGGGTTGAGTGTAACGACTTCGAAGACGGAAGGTTGTTGCTCGACGTTCAGTTCGCGTGACTGAACCCTCGGGGGGAAAAAGAAAACACCTGTATGCAAGGGTTAAGGGCAGCGTAGCAGAGTTTGGCCAGCCAGACTCGCGGTACTGAGGGTTAGGGGTAAGAATAACTTTCACTAGTTCTCCTTTGTTCTAACCGTTTCATGGTCACGAATGCCCGATAGCTAGTGTTACGGTACCGTTTTGTCGTCGCTCAGTAGAGTGTAAGATCGATTGTAAGAATAGGTGAACAGTACTGAGGATAAGAAAGAGAGACGGGAGGGTTCGTTAATCCTTTATAGTCACACTGTCGACCGATATTTCGCTACGTTATCAACGATTAAATACTACTTTTAATTGCTATATCTAATAAAGGTACTTTTACTGCAAATCAATCGCTTCGCTTCAGTATGTCAGCCACGAAGCGGATGGCGGCCTCCTGAGTAGTTACGACCCCTTGTACCTTTAGGTCTTACGCTTTACATATATCGTAGAAAGGATTGGAACGGTATCTCGATGACCGCGCGCTTATTTAAAAGAGGATCGTCGGATAGTTGATAAGAAAGGAAACGATTTGTTGGAAGCAAAGACACGGTCTCGGGATGGGGTAGAAATTTATGCGACGAGTGACGAGATACGACAGACGTCGCGGTCTTAAAATATGTCAGAGTTTGCAGTTGCAGTCGGCGATGCAACGGTACATGCGCGCGTGCAGTTGCACGTCGATGTGCCAGGAATACGGCGCGGCGGGCACAACGGTGGCAAAAGATCGGGTAGACGGTTAAAAACCGGTTTCGTTCACCGCGGAAGGCGTCTCGGTAGTTTCTACTGGCTTCGATTTCATTCCTAATGGCCCCGATGAAATTCATCCCACGATCGTTCGCTGCGCGATTGCCTGCACCTTCTCTCTACACGATTTTTCCTCTATCCCCCTCTCTGTTCGTTAGAAATTTCCGCTGACAAATCGGTTTCTCGGTGTCTTTCTATCAGACTTTTCGGCGAAATTCAATCAAAATATTCATACTACTTTTTGGTCGATTAACAGACAGAAAATCGGACGTTGATCGAACGATTTCGCGCTTCGTAATAAGCACACCGAAGTTAATTGCGCGTATAAAGGCTATGTAAAAAGATCGGCAAGAAAGCTTCGTTCCAACCGTTGCGTTCCGCTCGATTCCTCCGGGAAAGACTAGCGTAATTTTTTCTCGCAGGGAGAAAAATAAATT